AAAAAAAAAAAGTAAATAGCAAAGGATAGATAAATTACCATCAAGAAATAGGAATTTCCATAGTTGATCATTAGTTCCGGCTATCGCTCCAAAGTGATAGCCCGGCTGTCGCCGACGCATTTCAGGCTCCCTCACATGGTTAGCAAATGCAGTATAAGGATATCTCCCTTGAGCAAGAATAAATTCCTCCGACATTTTCATAACTATTTTCAAGTATTCTTCTCCAGGCTGTCGATTCGTCACGAAGAGTTGATACACCAACTGGCAGGAAAAAACATAATATAAAATATAGAAATTAGTTGGATATGCATGATAATAAGGATTGATAAACTTGAATGGAATTCATGATCAGAGACGGATATACATGTATTTCTAATCCATGCCAGTTAAAAGGTCTCAAACTGTAATTTAGAGAAGAAGCAACTAAAACCTCGACATAAATAAAAGTTTGAAGTGAACTTGAATTAGAAATTACAGGGGTCTGGAGATACCAAAACAAAAGATTGACTTGGAAATATTGAAGTCTCAAGAACTCCATTAATTAAGCCAATCCTCGACTTCCTCAAAACCACCCCAAAGCAAATAAATAAATACTAAAAAAAGATTTCATAAAACCAAAAAAAAAGGGATACGTAACACCAAAATATAGAATTAAGGTGACATGAATATAATAGAGGCCGTGACGGATTCTCCAGTTTCACCATGAACCGTCGAGTCCCTTTTCGCGCCTAAACTCTTCAGCTAAGTTATGCCTAGACCCATTCTTATTTACATCCTGCACATACGCTATCGCAGTTATTTGTACACCATATCCACAAGAACCACAGATACACGCACAAAGCACAGTCGAACTGCATAAAAATTAGGGCATATGAAGAGATAGAACGAATTTTTACCTAGGATACAATGATACATCCGAACATCCCTTCAATGGAGAAGTAGAAACACGGGAAGAAGACGATGGGGGCCTCGACCTGCCATCGAGTCCATCAGCTCCATGACCCATTTCTCTTGCTCCACCGTCGCCATGAACCCGTCATCCAGCGGCAGCGCCAACCCCATATTCTCCACCATGAAGACCATGTTCATCCTCTGCTCCGCATAGATCAGCCACACGATCACCGTGAAATATGGAAGAAAAAAAACTGAAAAAATAAAAAATAACTGATCAGTTTTCACTGAATTGAAGGATGGATCCAGATTGTTGCAGCTAGGGTTGCGAAACTCGTCATCCCTAGATGGAGCAAATTCTCGATCTCTCTTGCGATTGAAGCCTACTTGGCGGCGAGGCTGCTCGTCCCTGATACCCACACCGTAGGATCTGAATTCGTCGCCAAGCTTTTCCAGTCGAGCTCCTCGGATAAATGAATACGCGTGAGCTGTTGACTTACGGGATTTGTATAGATTCTACTTTGCAACAAAGCAGAACATATTTGAGTAAAATATTGGACCAAAATTATGTACAGTAATTAGACTTAATCATTTAATACTTTCCTTTGTTATGGTAACAAAAAAACGTACCAAAATCTCGGACAAATGAATAAACGGATCCGCAATTGTTGACTTTCTTATTTTGAATTTTAAAAGTGACCGCTTCTTTTCAATTTTTTTTCAAAAAAATTCCTAATAATAGTAAAAACGAATTATTAAAGCGGGAATTCTATTGCTATTTCAGGTAAATATCAAACCTTTTTATATTTATATAGATATAGATTTTTAATTTTAAACAATCGTTGATGTTATAATTTTTAATATTAAAAATAAATTATTTTAACAAGTACTCGTGTAGTACACGGTGGGTATTGTACCAAAAATACTCATATTGAACCATTAAGCTCTTTTGTATAACACGTGTATTTATCATAATGCATGATATTTGTAATTAATAATGGTGGCTCATTGTCATAGAGGTTAACACATGTAAAAGTGAATAAAAATTACACATAATATTATCAAAACAAAATAGTCTAGTAAAATAGCTTGAGAAAGGTAGTACAGACCACTAAGAATGATGTACAAGTCTTACCATACCCTCAAGATCTTTACTTCAATCAAACTCTACTCAACAACAAAAAAGCTCCTTAGCATATTCATAAAATAATTTATAATTCCTCCAAAAGAAAAAAAGAAAACCTCTCACTTGTCTCTCCCCCTAAGCAATCACCATTAATTAAATCACTAAATAAATTTCACCAACACTAATGATGCTTTTAGACTATCTTATACATACTTAAATAACACTAATAATTTAATTAATATAGTATGGTTTACTTGTTGTATATAGAAGGTTGGCTCCATATTGAAACCAACGGTTGGCTTCATAACAAAATCGTCAAACTATAATGTCTTATTTTGAAAAAAAAACACAAAAAATATACGTTTTGTAGATAGTATGACGAGTCCACGCGACTGCCAATTAATCTAACTCACTCAAAAATTTGATAGCTCGACGCGTCTAACAGATATAAAATACTTTTAAATTGTAATGCAAGTGTGAGCGTCTTGGCCCAGTTTGAGGTAGATCGCTTCTTGTCCTCGCCGGTAGAACGCCGGAAACCTGCAAATAACTCTCACACCGTGGGGTTTTTCCGGTGAAGAGCCTCCGATCTTAAGTAAGTATGTGTATGAGTATACTTGAGTTGAATAATGGAAATCGTGTTAAGGAAGAAATGCTCACCCCTCTTTATATAGGGGTGAGATACCTGACCTAAGAGATGCCCGGGTATGGTGAGTTGGCTGCCCCAGCTGCCCGTCCGTACTCTGACATGCCGCGCGTATGTCAAAGGTGATGATGGGAGTTGTCTGGTTGTCGCTGTCAACCAATGCATTCTCGCTACATGTCCTCTGCACATGGGATGATTATTCCTCTAAAATTCGGTTAGAGGCTCTTACACGCGCTCGTGACTAGGTCGATCTCCAGAATACTGCCAACCCATAAAGTGGTCGATCTATTGAGGTCGACTCGACTGCTCGACTGTTTGGCTGCTCGACTGCTTGATTGTTCGACTGGTCGATCTTTCCGCTACTTGGCTCGACTTCCTCACTGTACAACCTCTTCAACCGGTTCGGCGGACCAGTTGAGCCTTGTGGGTATAATATCCTTACAATTCAAAAAACAACATAAATAAAAGAATGAAGTTTTGTAAAAGTGTATAAACATATATTTTTGTTGAAAAGAATAATTTTTAATGAATCCACCCAACTAAACCATTAATGTTAATCTTAATCTTAATCACACAAAGAATAGATCTTTCACCAAACCCATCATCATCAACAACATTCCAAGGCAAACTAGAATACAAAAGAAAAGAACACAAAAAAAGGCCCACCTCACACCAAACCAAACCCCCCCAAATAAAAATCCAATCTTGAAACACACACAACACGCATTTCACCATTTTTAATCAAAGTGTGGGTGGAGAAGAAAATAAATAAATAAATAAATAAATAAATTCAATCAAATAAATAAATAAATATAAAAAATGACAGAGAATAATACGTGTTCCCCACCTTCACCCTCAAGCCCAAACATGTGTATAACACCTGCTGTAGCTGTAGACAACGAGCCCTTCGTTAGCGCTGCCTCCGAATTGTATTGCTTCAGAAAATTGTCGAGCCCGAGTATCGGAAAGGTGTTCGAAGCGGATCAAATTTCTCTCTTGGAGCTTTTGGTGGCCATTTTCAGGAGATCCTTTGTGGGGTGCAAAAGGGCCGCCGCAATTGGGGCCGCCGACGGTCGGAGAATGGAAATCGGGTCGCCTTCTAATGTGAGGCACGTGGCCCATGTAACCTTCGACAGGTTCAATGGCTTTCTCGGGCTGCCGGTTGAGTTCGAGCCCGAAGTTCCCAGGAGGCCTCCTAGTGCAAGGTCAGTTCTATTTGTTCAAAAATTATGACTACTAACTGTTAGGCCGGCCTAAGAACATGATTAATGGCGTGAGAGTAGTGGATTGTTTTGGGTTATGTGAAGCATTATGTTCTTGATATATTGTATTAAAATCTGTTTACTGCATTAGAAGTATGGTTCAGTTAGATGCTCATTTGGCCCATAGGAGCCATAAATCAGCCTGATACTGCTTGTGGGCATTGGCCATGGTTCGAGCTGGAGTTCATTTAAAGCTCATTTAGTTAACGAGTCGAGCCAAGCTTGGCTCGTTAAGCCTCGAGAATAGGAAATTTTTACGTAATTTTTGGAATTTTTGACTTAGCTTTGCTCGTGTTCAGCTCATTAATATTGATAAACAAGACGAGCTCAAAATCGTTTATCGGCTATTGATCTGAACTCGGGTCGGGCCAATTAAGGCTCGAGATCGTGTCGGGTCGATTAAGGCTCGGGTTTGGCTCTGACTCGTTTACACCTCCATGAATACCTTATTTGGGTTGATGTGAATTTTCATATTTGAGAGCCCCTTCAGTTGAGAAGGGAAATAAGTAATTGGGAATGAATCAACTGGTTGTAGTATTGAGACTCTACTTTAAATTATGGAAAGCAAAACATGAAAATAATCATAAAAAAAAAATTATCGATGCACATTTGTAAAGAATTTTACTTTGGAAAGAAAGTTACCGTATCTAGTTCATGTTATTGGTTTACGATCAACGACTCTGTTTATAGGAAACGTGAAATAACCTCCTTTTTTTTTCTGTGGAGCAAGTCACGATTCGGGCTAAATTCTTGCTTTCTTCTGATCCTGACCTGTGATTAGCAGAGCAAGGCGCCATAAACGTCTTATGTAATTGGGTTGGCTTATTTTAGAAACAAGAAATGAGTTTTAAGAAAGACGCGTTATAAGCTAATTTCGTCTTAATTCACATATTAAACTCAATATTCTTCACGTGTAGTACAAGAGTGTTTGGAGTTTCGACCGAGTCAATGCAGTTGTCTTTCGACTCCAGAGGTAACTGTGTGCCCACTATACTACTGATGATGCAAAGACGTTTATATATGCAAGGAGGCCTCGAGGTAATAATAAATTTTCTTTACCTCATTTTGTTTACCATCTTATTTAACAAACAAAAATTATTTGCCTCTTGCAGTCTGAAGGAATCTTTAGGATTAATCCGGCAAACGGGCAGGAAGAGTATGTAAGAGAACAGCTAAATAACGGGTTGATTCCGGATGACATTGACGTTCATTGTCTAGCCGGTCTAATCAAGGTACCTCTTTTTTATAATATAATGATACATTTTCAATAATTCAGAACACATAAATGAAGTACCTTTGTTTGTAATGACTCTTTTGTAGGCGTGGTTTAGAGAATTACCGAGAGGGGTATTGGATTGCGTGCCAGCCGAGCAGGTGATGGAGGCCCAGTCGGAAGATGAGTGCACTCAACTCGTGAGGCTACTGCCCCCAACGGAGGCAGCCCTTTTGGATTGGGCCGTTAATCTAATGGCCGATGTTGCCCAGCACGAGCACCTCAACAAGATGAACCCACGAAACATCGCCATGGTTTTCGCCCCCAATATGACTCAGGTCAGCACTTAAAAAAACCAGCCGTCTTTTTTAGCTAAAGTCCACAAATGTCTAGTAACGACACTGTTTGCAAAAGCTTCTGCTCTTTAAGAAGTAAAGGACTAAAATTGAAATTTGCCAAACCGCCACTTTTATGTGTGTTTGTAGGCTATGTCCGGTAAAGTTAGGTGATAAGCTGACCTATAGCTTATTAGTGAATTTTGCGCTTATAGCTGATGTCTTATGACTTATGGCTGAAAAACTAACTTTTATGATAAGAGTGTTTGGTAAAATTAATTGATAAGCTAGCTGAAATAAAAAATTTCAATTGACTTATTTGAAAAACTATTCAAAGAAGCTATGAGATAAACTCAAGCTCTTTAAAAAAAACTCGCCTTACCAAACCAAACTTATTATATGAATACAAGAAGTTTATAAGCTAATCAAATAAGCTATAAGCTAGCTTATATGCTTATCTAATAGTTGATGAACAAAACAATGAAAAACGATTTGTATTACGACCAAAGGTGAAGTAAAAGAGTGGCTCTTTTTTTCGCGAATATCTTTATATTTCGTCCGGTGCTCCGGCATTGAATACTAGGTGAAAAAGGAAAAAGGTCATCACCCCAAACTAAGCAGAACCAGAAATCTTGAAGTACCTCTCTTTTTAAACCGAATAATAAATGTACCTTATAATTATTTTCTTTTTATGTGAATATTAATGTTTTATCTTGCTCGGTGCAGATGTCGGATCCTCTTACGGCACTGATGTACGCAGTCCAAGTGATGAATTTTCTCAAGACTCTCGTCACAAAGACATTAAGAGAGAGAGAAGATTCACTAGGCGAAGCAGGTCCCACGGTACAGTTGGACCAAGAAAACGAAGATCATCACGATCAATGCACTTCAGGATCAGGATCAGGATCAGTTCACACGGACCAATCAATTAGAACCAACAATGAATCTTGTGGTTTTCTAAGTTCGATCGAGAAAATTATAGCCGATGCAAAAGGAGCTACAGACGATTATTCGATTGCTGACAAGGAAGGATCGTGGCAAAATACTCTTAGACCAGTTGTCGAGGGAGATGAGGGCATAACTGTAACTACCAAGTTAAAGCCACAGCCTTCTCGGGGAGAAGCATGGAAATGAATGAAGCTCGTGGAAACAATCGTGATACCTTGATTGGAACTCGTGTGTTTCGCCTAACAGAAGAAGTACTCTACTCGTTTGGTGTGCTGTAAATTTTTCGTTTTATGTGTGGATGTGTGTATTGTTGAACTATGTTTGATCGAATGGGTATGGATTTGGAGTGGTTAACTAACTTGTAAGTCTCATTCTATGGTAGGTTGCTTAAGGCAGAATTTGTGTACTTTTTTTTTTTTTAAACAGAAATTTGTTTACGTTTCTTTATAAGAAGCAGTTCTGAACCACAAAAAACCCAAAAATTCGAACATATATATAAAATCATCGAAGCATCGCAACTAGGGCTGCAAACGAACCGAGCCGCTCGTGAGCACTAGAGTCAAAGTTTGACTTGAGCTCGAGTTTGACCGAACTCGAGACTCGAGCCCATATTTTACACTGTCGAGCGACTCGAAATATATGTGAAATTATTAAAATACTTTTTGTATATATATATATATATATATATATATATATATATATATATATATTAGCATATGAGGCTTAATGGTAATTTTACTAATCCATTTAAAAAATTTCGAGTCGAACTCGAATATTTTGATTTCGAGTCGAGCCATTGTAATTTTTTATCGAGTCGAACTCGAGCCTAAAAAGTCGAGCTCGAGTTGGAGCAGCTAAAAAAAAATTCAATCATGCTCGATAAGACCAATGCTCGACTCGACTCCTTTGCAGCCATAATGGCAACTCCAAAAAGATAAATAATAATAATAATAATATAAAGACTAAGAGCAGTAATTTTGTAATCTAAAGTAACTGGACCACATGGAAATGCACGTTTTGACTTTATTTTCGGGTTCGACTTAAGTTTTCTTACGAATTTGGCGTAAAATCAGACTTGAAAAAAAAAAAAAAAACGAATTTATTAAAAATAATAATTAAATTGCATTATAATTTTTTAAAAAAAAAAAGAAAAAAAAAAATGGAACCAAAACAAAATGAATTGAACGGTGTATTAAAAAAATCTCAAAATCCATTTAATAACGAATTTACATTCGAATTATTTCTTTTGCCCAAAATCCATTTAAGCTTTTTTTTTCCCACTTCTCATCTTCTCAGACTCTTTCACGTCGCCCGCCGGAGAGGAAAAGTGTTCGATGTCTCCGCCTTGACCTCTGACTCACGCCGCCGCCGCCCCCGCCCCGTCATCTCTTATTGAATGCTGAAGCAATCGACAGCAAGAGCACGTCTCAATCTCTTAGCGGAAATTTAAGGTTGAGGAAGGTTTCCCATAGCCGGCTTTATCGACAGAGGTATAACTTTCGCACTCCTTCCTTTGGCTGCTTTACTAATAAGGGTTTCGGTTTCTATACACACTTATTGATACTTTGATGTTGTCTTGGACTTATGGTTTTGATTTCTGTACCCACTGATTGAAACCCTAATGTGTTATTGATGTCCTGCAGATGAAATTTTTTGGATTTTTTTGCAATTTTGACCAGAAATTGGATTTGTTACTTTCAGGCTCATATATAACTGACTCTGGAATTTTATCTGGATTTGGAAGGTTAATTTCCTAATGCCTATTCAAGAATGGTGTATGGTGTTCATGCATTTTGATTTAGTATAACTAATTTTTATTAATTTCTTCTTTGCTTATGTCCTGTTCAAATTGATAAGCTACTGAAAAAATCCCTGTATCTAAATCAGGGTGAAGAATTTTGTCGACCGAAGAAAAATGCAAGTGAAAGTTCCAATTTTATTGACTTATCAATTTCTAATGGATTGAAAACTATATATTTCTTAGTTGTAGCAAGAGTATCTAAAATATATATTAACAGAGGTTTAGAGATAGTACTTAATGTTTTTTTTGAGCGTACCATGAGTTGTGCTATCTTCACAAGTAAGAATATTTAATATCATAATCTAAAATACAAAACTAAACGTATAATATTTGATAAAATAAGTATGCAATTTTATTCGTGGTCACTGTATATAACATAAGAATTTATGATTTAGCAAAGGTTAGAGACGGAGTATTTAATGTTTTTCTGGTGAACTGTGGGGAGCTTTGTTGAGGAAACCTCAAGCGAATTTTTGATATGCGTTTTTGTGAAGGGAATTTGCTAGTTAGTTTTTTTGTTTGTGAGTTTTGTTGTGTGGGTTTGTACATTCAGAACAGTGTTATCAAATGGCGGCGCCATGACGTGGCGGATTTTTGACAATCCTCGCCATGCAAAATTTGTGAATGATGGACCATAGACCGCCATGGCAGCCGCAATGGCGGAATTTTGGCAAAACGCCATGTACCGCCATCCGCCATTAATAACACTGATTCAGAACTAATATATGTCTGTTTTGTTGAGAGTTTAGAATGTTCAACTGTTCAAAGAATTAAAAGTTGCCTTGAATCTTGGAGGCGGCACATATGGGTTATCAAGCACTTATGTGTAAATTTTTTTTTTTTTGTTCCTATTTCTTCTTTGAGGTAGATAACATGTGTTTTTGGAAAAGTACCATTTTTTCACCATCCCTTTACAGAAGTTTTCACTTACTGGCGGTTTTTGGCCCCTGGCCGACCCCAGAACGGGCCAGGTCACGTGCCCAACCTGTTGGACCCGTTGCGGGTCACGGGCCAGGGTGGGTCCATGGGGCAGGTGTGCAGGCCAGGTCCGGGTCCGTAACTACCCAGCCCGACCTGGCCCATTGCCATCCGTAGCTTCAAGATGCTGAGTAAAAAGCAGCATGATCCATATACTAATTTTCGTCGGCCCGTTAACATGTTTTTCATATTTTCCTCCTCTTTGGTAAAGTTTGGGTTCAAACCAAAATTGTAATATGCCTCAATCTCTTTCATTGTCTATGATTTTCCCATGCAGGCGCCACTTTTTCCCATTTATTTCTTCAAATGCGCAGAGGGTTTTCAAGAATGAAGTTGCATTGCTTAGAGAGGACATTCTCCCATTCTGCACCTTCTTTGACTCCCATCAAACTCCCTGCTCCACTGTAAATCCTTTATTTTATTATAATTTCATGTTTTGAGCAATTCATAATTTTATTTAGTTATTTGTTTTAATTATATATATATATATATATATATATATATATATATTATTATAATTTGTTTTTTTTTTTCTCAGGGAGACTCATCTGTGGTATGTGAAACCGAGTGAGGTGAAGAGTGAATCCTTGTTGAATCGTTATTTAGATACTTTGTCTCCGTGCGAGAGGGAGAGTGTGTTGCGACTGCAGGGTGAGGAATCGAGAAAGAGCGCATTGCTTGCGCGTGCCTTGGTTCGGACGACAATTGCCAGATGTATGTTACAGTTTTTGCGTGCATAGTTTCTGATTATATTGTCAGATTTGAACGCATTCGCTCAATTACTTTTGTGCAAATATGTGATTTTTGTGCAGTTATTATAGGGTGCAAATTTGTAGGTGCTCATTTGTGTTTTTCCACAAGGAAGTTTTCAAATACTCAGTTCTGTTAAAAATACTTTTTTTTTTACATGTATTTGAAGTGATCGGAATGCATATTTTTGCATGATTGAATACCATTCTCACTCCTATATTGGTTTTCGGTAGATCAGATAAACTCACACGCCGATCCCAAATCATTGAAGTTCCGGAAAAACTTACATGGGAAGCCTGAGGTTAGGCTTAATTAATTTTGTATTGCTTTCCAGTGGCCTTATCATTGCCCTGAACCTTCCTCTTTTTACAAAATTTGGAATTGGTTGCAGATAGAGTGGCAAATTACGGATAATTGGTGTCCACCTCCTTTGCATTTCAACATCTCTCACACTTCTTCTCTGGTAGCATGTGGAGTGACCACCAAAGCTCGTGTTAGTTATATATAACTCTCGTTCTTTATATTTCGACACCCGTGATATTCTCATCAATTTTGTTTCCTTACAAGTATAGATTGGTATTGATGTGGAAGAAAAGCAGCGAAAAATTAAGCACGACGTTTTATCTTTTGCTCGACGCTATTTCTCCAAAAACGAGCTTAGATTCTTGGCGGCAATTTCCGACCCACAAGTTCAGCACATGGAATTTGTCAAATTATGGACACTCAAGGTCTTACTCATTGATATAACTATGTGAAACTCAAACCCCTTTATTCTTTAAATCCCATTGGGAAGTATGAAAATTAACTCGGTCATTACATAACAATTCCTTAAGAATATTCACTTACCGAAAGTCATCTTTTATAGGAGGCATATGTCAAAGCCTTGGGCAAGGGGTTCTCTGGTGCACCTTTCAAGACATTTACCATACATGTTGAGAGTGTGGATGAACGAGGCTTCAGTTCAGTTGATTATGATTATTCAAGTCGTAAGGTTTGTCAGGCATTTATTTTTTATTTATTTTCTGGTTTTTTAAACAGGGAATGTTATCTGTGTGTCTCTGTTTGGCATCTGTATCGTCTGAGAATATTAGATTTCCTTACATTTTCTTCAACTTCAAGAGAAATGGTCCTCTTGGCTCTAGCTTTTGCCTTATCGAATGCTTGAATTTACATTATTTTGGTGTAACTTACCGGCATTGGTCTCAGGTTTCTGAAATAACCGTGGAGTCTCTCGACAAAACTGCTGGCATTACAAGTAATTGGCAATTTGTGCTGTTGGAATTGGCTAATTTGCATTATGTGGCCATTTGCACTGAGAAACTTGGTGATGTTGAAGGTATTGTATTACTATGATGCAGCCCAAATATTTGCATTTAATTTTCTTTATTTTTCTTTTTTCAATTATTTATTATTTTCGATGTAGGCAAAATAAATGTTCCGAGGAAGTTAAAGGTGTGGAAAACAATACCATTTTTGGAGGATGTATGTGTTTCTGGAACAGATGCAGTTAACATAATTTGTGGCTTGCAGTGATTTTGGCCTTCTGGAAGTATTTGAATTTTACAAAATCCTTATATATAAGTCTATCTAACCGTTAGGCGTGACTACTCGTAACGCCTTTTTATTTTTCCATAAATCATATTTTTTTTTTGGTTGTTTTTAGAATATGAAATTGAAGTATGACTGCCTAAATGTGATACTTAGAAGTCTTGACATCTGTTAACTGCTCAGATAGAGATCAACTGAGAGATCCTCATTAGTTGAACCATTTTTTCTGGGGCTTATTGACACCTGTTAACTGCTCAGATGGTTACATTAGTACATATCACACAGACTTTGATAAATCCAAAGTTTAAAACCGAAAATAGGACAAGACTTGGAAAGTAAAAAAAGACACAGAAATTGAAATAATTATCCGTCGATCAAGAAAGCATGACGAGCTCCAAGGGATTTCCAGCCGTAGATGATGGCGACAAGGATTTCTTGGCTGGCTTGATTTCTGCAGATTGTGTAACTTCAAAGGAGATCAAGGTATGTAAACCTCTATATAGACTATTGCTTATGTGATTGATCAAATAACTACACACAAAATGTACCTAGGCCACAAGAATTGGATATGAATTACACATGAACAGAAACAAAACGATCGTTTATTTTTGAGCCTCCGATCAAGATTAAGTATCTAAGCTGTCCAATTTTACGTGCAAAGCTTGCAAGACTTGTAAAATCTTCACTCATGGTTCATTCTCTTTATGGATTTTATCTCCATAATGGTTTGCATCGGCTTTACTGAACCCAAATGTCCTGTCGTAAGAATCGAATCTTTGGCAACTTACTAACACCATTCAACCAAATCTTCATTTCTCCAATTCAAAATCACAGGCCCCGTGATTTTACAAACATCTCGTTTTTCAGTGCGCGCTGAGTAACCGACTAGCCATCATCAATACAATGAAAAACCCATGATTTTTCGCAAAACCAATAAAATCTTGCAGGTGATTTTAGTCACTAGAGAGAAACACACTCCCTTTATCTCTATAGACTGTAATAATGTAGCTAAAAATACAGTGTTTTTTTCTATTCAATTGCAGGATAAATATGAAGAGGCCGAAAGGAAGGAACGTGAAAAGAAGGACATTCAGAACCTTAAAACCGTGTTCGTTATTACAGGGATTATGGTGGCTGTGGCCGGTGCAATCTTCGCCATAACCAGGAAGCTCAGAGAGAAATGAGAAATTGATACTCTATTTTTGTTATAGAAGTTAAACATTTTTCCAGATTATTTAGTCATCATAACTATCCATAGGTCATGCACTTGAAATTTATGTGGAAGTGATGTGAGTACTATTTATACTGCAGTTAAGAGTGCATGTTTTGAAACTAATTAATGAAATCAATATAATTTTCTCTAATTCATTTGGCGTATCAATGAATATTCATGTATATACAAAAATTCTCGAGTGATGTAGCCTTAATGGTTAGGCGAGTTGACGCATACTTATATAATGAGACATGATAAACTTATATATATGTTTGTTCTTTCGAGTACTTATGTCTAAAATTATTATGTGTTACAAAAATATAACTCTTAGATATGTACATTTTTCTTATGGAGCCGTCAGATGATTCTGCTTATGAAGTCATCCATAATTATTCACAAATAGTGTATTGACATGTGTCCTAGAATAAATACATTTTAGACAGGTGTCAATTGGTTTAGCTATAGAGTCATCGGATGACTCGATCATTTATAGTTATTCACAAATGGTGTATTGACACGTGTCCTGCCATATAATTTTTGGATATGTCTAACCCTAACTTTGTTAGCACAAAGTTATTACGAATTGACCAACACAATATTGCTATAAAGTACATACCTGCCTCCATAGTAGAGTCAACCTTCTATATACAACAAATAAATCATAATAAAATTATTAGTATTTATTAAAGTAATCAGATAATATAATATGATTTACTTGTCGTATATTTTCTGGTTAGCCTCTACTATGTAGTCAACTATTGTTTTCGTAGCAAAAATGTTGATCAAACATATATTGAGATATTGTTAGACCACAAACAGTCATATTCCATTCAATTATTACAGATCAAAACTATAATAAACTCGTTTGGTCAGAGTAAAAAGATAAAAAAAAATAAATGAATAATCTTGGTTTTAGAGGGTTTTAAATTTTTAATAATCTGTTAAGACAGTTGATCTTGAATTCTTGATCATGGTTCTTTTTCCTTAAAACACTCGACTGAGTCTTTCGTTCTCCGCATAAATTAATGGCTCAATTTCTCCAACTTCACCCGCCATATTCTTCCTCTGGATCCCCTTCCCTTTTTCACCTCAAGCTCAAAATCACCACCGTCAGCCATGGCCAAATATTGCGCACCAGCCGCCGTCCGGTTCGTTTCCCCATCAAGCCATTCTCCGCACTCGAGGCAACCGCCGCGGCCCCCGGCGACCGCCCCTCTCCGCCGATCAAACTCGCCTCCCTCACCGCACTCAAACCCTACCTGCAGCCGGAATGGCGGCCGATCCTTTCAGGATGGCTGTGCAGCGCCGTTTCTGTTTACTCGCTTTCCAAAATCGTTCCTTTGGCGGGAAAACTCTCCTCCGCAATGGGCGCTGCGAGCTTGATGGGCACGGGGAAGGAGGTTCTGGTGTTGGGGGCTTTTGTTCTGACTAGAATCGTGGCGAATTATTTGCAGGAGGCTTTTCTGTGGGAGGCGGCGTTGAGCTGTGTGTACGAGATTAGGGTTCATGTGTTCAATAGGGTTTTGCAGAGGGATTTGGGGTTTTTCGAGAGTGAAAGAGGAATTTTGCCTGGGGATGTTGCGTACCGGATCACAGCGGAGGCCGAGGATGTAGCTGACACAGTATATTCTCTTATCAATGTGAGGATCAGTAGTTAGTTACTTAGTTCTATACATCATTTTTTTGTGACCATGAGTTAAGTACTGTTATGCGATTCTGTGTTCAATGGGCTTGTGGGTGTGGGATTATGGTTACATTGTATGAAAAATTCGAATCACTAAAATTTGCCTGTTGTGATAGATTCCACATGATCTCAAAATTTTTTAATTAGATTGAGCATTTCTTGGTTTTCATTTCTTGTTCTCTCCCTCACCATGCAAGTTTTCGCGAATTGTTTGGAATTTAGTGGTTGAGCTTTAGTTTAGAGGTACTTACTGACTTTTATGTTTGTCATCTCCCTGAACCATCACATGGATTTGGAAGACAATTCTGCCTGGAAGGATCTTGTTTTGTTCTGTATACTGTTATATGATGATTTTGAAGTTTAATCACTAAAATAGTTGTTTATACCTTGCTCTTCTTTTGATTTTTGTTCAACAGACAATTGTACCGAGCACTCTACAGTTATCAGCTATGGCGTCTCAGATGTTAAACATAAGCCCCACGCTGTCTCTAATTTCTGCTTTAGTAAGGCTTTTGATATCAATTTTCTCTTCCCTTCCGTATTTTCTACTTGTATTGTGAAACTTTGATGTGGTAGAATTAATCAATTAAATAGATGAGGTAATCTGATTTTTCCTTTCAGGTGATTCCCTCTATGACTCTCTCAATTGGATGTCTAGGAGAAAAGCTTCGTGCACTATCCAACATGGCGAATCTTAGTACGGCTGCTCTCTCAGCCTACCTAAATGAGGTGTAATAGAATCTACCATTTAAAATGTCAGCTGACAACATGCACTCAATCGGTCATTTAATGCTGGATTTTGATTCTGAATTCTCATTGAAATAATTCTTCAACTGGAAGTGAACCATGAATTTTTATATCCAGCCCTGCTAATGCGTGATGGTTTTCATCTTTTCAAGACTAGCAAGTTTCACTTCAGTTATATTAGTTACTTTTTTT